TGATATAAATAATAATAAAATTAACATAAATATAAATTAAAAAAATTAAATAATAAAAATAGGAAAATAAAATATGTTTTGTAGTAAATAAATAGTGTCACACCAAATTGGTGTGGATAAATAAGGTTGCACTAAATTTGGTCTGATACTATTCATTCACACCAATTTAGTGTGGTTTTTGGTATTGCGTTGGAGCAAAATTTCTACACAATTAACCAAAATGGTGTTGGGTTGGAGATGCCTTAAGAGAAAATTGTGAGACTGGTTTGTAAACGTAACAATTTTCATGATCTAATGTTTTACACTGATCTTATTAGAATAGCCGGCTGGAATGTGAAAACCTTGACCATATTTTCAAATTCAGCATTGCTAGTCTTATAAAGAAGCCTACAAAGGAGGCATACAAAGTTAACCTCCACTCATCATTTCTCTCTCTCTCTTTTTCTCTTTTTTCGTTTTTTCTTTGTTTTTTCCTTCACTTTATAAGCTTTTTTGTAGACTTCTTTGTAAGGATAGATTTATTGTTTCAAATTAATGAAATGTTGTTGCAAAAACCCTTTTCATTGTAGGAATTGAGTCGAAATGTGAATTGGGTTGGGCCTGAAGAAAATCGACTTGAGTAAATTTATAAATAGAGCAAGGTACAAGAAGCTAAACCCATGAGTTTAAAGGAAGTAGTGGTGGTGGTGTGCTATGGGAAATGACTCGGCAAGGAAAATTTGTAGAAACTAGGTCAAAAATGTTTATTGCGTCAAAACTTGGACATATAATTGGTTCTCTAGAAACTGGGTTTCAAATGTCAATTGGGTCAAGCTCAAAATGTCAATTGGGGCTCAAGCCAAAAATGCCACTTGGGTCAAGCTAAAAGACCACTGACATGAGTAAACTTAGAAATAGGGTAGGGTTATTAAGGAATTGGGTTTAAAGAGTAAATTGGATTAGGCCCGAGTAACTTTAATAAATGTGTTTGTTTTAGTATTTTGAGTAATATTTTTGAAATCTTATTGTTAAATTGAGTTGGGTTATTATTATGAGGTAAAATTTAAAAATTAATAAGAAAGCCCTTAGGTTTGTTAATTTAGCTAAACACCTTTAATAATAAAAAATTTATAAATTTACAAAAACACCTACACCCACCCACAATTGCTAGATTCCGACCACCATCGTCAGAATCTAGCTAGAATCTTGTTTCATTGTGCACGACTAGCCAGATTCACCACAGATCTGGCCAAAAATGGCCAAATCTACGATCAGATCTAGCCGTCAATGACGGCCAAAGATATGGTCATCATTGACGGCCAGATACCAGCTAGATCTAGCTTATAGCGCACTATTACACTAGATTCTAGCTACCTTCCAGCAATGGTTGTCGGAATTTGACAAATGTGGGTGGATGGGGGTGTTTTTGTCAATTTATAAAAAAAATCTGTTGGAAGTCTTTAGTTAAATTAACAAATTTATGAGGGTTTAAAAATTAAATATTATAAGATATGATTTTGAGAATATGAAGCAAACATGCATTTTTTTTTCAACATAGGAATAGAGTATTTTGAAAATACCCAAAACATTTTGTTCAAAAGATCAAACCCAGAAGTTTAAAGGAAGCAGAGGTGGCAAGAGAGATGATTAGGATAGTCCAATTGTGTAAAAGTGTCCTTTTTCTCCATGGATTTGGCAAGTGTAACTAGTCTAGGTCTAGGTAGAAAGTAAAAGAAAATTATATTGTATTTTGTATCCACTTATATCAGATTTCTACTTATTCTTTCTCATTTTCTCCCAATCCAAACTCTAATTTTCCACCCATCAAAACTCTGGACGATCATTCAACATACACAAAATCTCTTCACTCATATAATTGTTGATGTGAGCAAGACTAACTTCGTTGAAAAGAAAAGAGTTGAGTTTATCAGTTAAAGTTGATCACAAAATGGAGCAGTCATACCCACTCCCCATGATTGTTAGCTATTTGTATTTGGTTGGAATATAAATACATATATATACGTCGTATATATATAAGATAAGATAAGATAAGATTCGAGAGGGTCATCACCGTCCCTGTCTAGAGGATATACTTCCTAAATACATTTTTTTTCTGGTACTAAAAATACTTGAAAATATGCCAATGCCATATCAGTAAGCATATTGTAATAAGATTTTGGATATGGGAGGCTTCAGGTGGGGTGAGAACCTGGATTCATCTATTAATTATTCATGCTCTTTTTTCCGGGTCCATTGGGTAATACAAATGTATCATAAAGCAAATGATCCATCTGGAGTTTTGAAGAAGTGTATCGAAACATGCATGATCACTTCAGTTTATTTTGTTGATCACCTTTTGAAAGTTAAACAACAGTTTGCCCCACTATAATCCAATTTCTGAGAGACCCTACACCAAAACTATTTCAACTATTTTGACGATCCAAACAAGAAAAACATTTAAAACAATTTGACTGATACTACCGAGAACACTCCCATATGCAAGAACTGGACATTTTTGCCAACATTAACTGGTGCAGCCAGCTTTCGTATTAAGATCTATAACATGGATCCATCATCCAAGGAAGACAAAAGTCGCTACAAGTCAAGTTAAAAAAATTGATAATTTCAATTACAAGATCTCATTATCGTATTTCTGCCAGTCTTATGGTTGCAACAACCATTCTTTCATTAAAGCATCGCTGGAATTGTAACAATTCCAAGATCTATCAATGTGGTATCACATGTTCCCGTCTTTTCAGCGGATTAGGGTTCTTTGATTGAAGATGAAGTAATTTGATATCGATAGAATTAATTACCTAATTATAGATCACAATAAAATGTAGGGGACTATTTTCACTGATACGAACTTTCCAAATCACATGAATAAAGAAGAAATTAAAGTAAAGATGGTTGTATACGTACAACCTTCTTCCTCCAACAATAATTATAAAGAGACAAACTCAAATATCATTTTCCAGAATTTTTTGACCACACCCATAAACCTGCAGCCATCCATACATAGCTTCCATCAACTACTTTGATGGCTAAATTTTTATCAAGAATAACAAATAAAATAAAGATAAAATTATGTGAAGCTGCCATTGCCACGTTTCGTTCAAAATTTTACATTCTGCAAGCGAAAATATGAAGCCCCTTTGATAAAATTTTCTAATCAGAAGTTCATGGACGGTGGATAGGTATTGATGGTGCATGAGGATCGAGCAGTTTGAAATTAATAAAAGTTTACGTTCACAATATGTTTTTGTTGAATAATCACGAGCTTCACTTGAACAATTTTAAGTAAAGAGACGAATAAAGAAATTAAGTAGTTGTTCTTAACACAGTGTATTTATATAAACTGTTGATGAATCAGCATACAGATTGATAATACGTATAAACTAACATGAAAATATTAAATAATAATTAAATGATTGAATATATAAATAAAAAAGTTTGATGGAGTAAAATAAATGATATGACAATGATGTCAAATCATTTTTTATTATTAATTTATAATTAATTAAATATAATATTATTGATAATAATCTTTTCAACACTTTATCAATCTTCTTCATCCATTCAAAATTGGGTTTCTTGATCCCTTCAAAAATGGAAGTTTGAGTTCGACATTACGGATGAGCCCACTAGCCACTAGGATAGAAATGACCCACAATTTTATTATATAATAAAATTATTAATCACATTGATGAATATGTAGACAAAGCCGCAAGAATTTTTTTTTTTTTCTAATTTAATTTATTCATTATACTATTCAAGCACGTCTCTTCTTCGTAGTATTGGTGAAATTTCATTACGTGTTTATCAAATGTACGAAACCAATAAACCAAATTTGACACGATCAACAAATTTTTAATTAATTAAAAGATTAGTATTAGTTAAAGGAAAAAAGATTTATGTGTCTCTATCTTGTGTTCCTGAGAATACAAGACATACACACATTGTAATTCTTCCCATAAATCTTGCACGTTAAATAAAAGAGTAAACGACTTGTTCTCACCCAAGTTTTGCCTTAATGACACATTCACATCCAAAAAGTTTTAAAATACTATTTTCTCACCCAAGTTAATATTCTGTTACTACCCAAAGTTGATTCTGATGGCAAAAATTCTTTCTGTCACCACTATTTGAACCCACGGTCTTCTCTCTACAAAAACCCTTTTACTCCGACATCTGATTTCTCTTCGATTGCCAACCACTGCAAAACTAGGGTTTCTTATTCTTAGCTGATTTCCAACTGATTTCGACGGCGAATATTCAATCAGTCACCACCATTCGAACCACCAACCTCAACTCTACAAAATTCGTCTTATTCTAGCTCTTGGTAACTCACTGAATGACGATTGAGAAAGTGAAGTACACTTTGGGTATTAACGGAATATAAACTTTGGGTGGGAAAGTCGTATTTTGAAACTTTTTGGGTGGAAAAGCGTCATTAAGACAAACCTTGGGTGGGAAAAAGTCTTTTAGTCTAAATAAAAATTATGAACAGTGGAATGCTCTATTTAGATCTCAGCTACCAAATCTAAATTTCCTCAATCTTGACTGTGATGTGTCACTCAAAGCCTTACTATTCTTCAACAATATATTAAACGATTTAAATGCTTTCCTTGTTTTCTTTGGTTCCCTCATTCTTGTCCTTATTGGTAGACTAGTTGATATGAAGCTCATACGCAGAACCTCCTCAGCCACCACGCCACCACACCGTCAAACTTATATTATTATAAGAATATATATACACATATGTATACATATATAACTCTTCATCAATTAAGTTTTCGATGTAATTTCTTCATCCTGTTTTACGTCAAGTTTTGGAAAGTAATTGACAATGCCCTCAATGAGAATGATAATAATTCAAAAATCTTTTACATTTTTTATTTTATTATTTCTTTAGTGTCTAAACAAAGACGTGTCTTCTCTCTCTCCATCTAAATTGGGCAACCAACAAATCAAAACTTACTTGCATTGAAGTCTATATTTTATATAGAATTAATTAGAATTTACCAAAGTTTCAAGAACTACCGAGCAAATCGGTTCTTGCCACATGATAACTTACATCAATTCTCTTTCTCTTCCTTAAGTTTCTCTCTATTTAAACCGCATTTCATCATTTTATCAAACCCTCTCAATTTTCCATACGCCACAAAGCATGGACACCCCTAACCCTTCTCATGCAACATACTACATTCCCTTGCCGGAGCAGCCCTCCCTCGATGGATCTCCCGCGACTCGACGGAGACCCTTGAAGGGTTTTGTGGTGATCGTTGGCTCCATCATTTTCCTTGTGTCATTGGTGGGGTTAATACTCAACCAAAGCCAAGAACCATCATCAACATCACCAATGCCAAACAATGATGATAAACCCTCGTCACAAAAGAAGTCATTCTCGAAACGAATGCCGAGAGGGGTAGCTGAAGGCGTATCCGCAAAGTCAAATCCATCTCTTTTTGATGATGATGAAGTTTCTTATAACTGGACAAATGCAATGCTTTCATGGCAAAGAACTTCATACCATTTTCAACCGGAGAAAAACTGGATGAATGGTAGGTAGAAGAAAGGTTTGAAGTTTAAAAATTTTAGTTCAGAAATCACGTGCTTTTTTAATTAGTTTACTAACTTTCTGTTATTGGTGGTTGAAATCAGATTTGTACTTTTTGATTTTCCCCCTATTTCTATATTACACATCAAAGTCTTTATTGATAAACAGTGCTAATTATTTCTCATTTGGTCTTTTTTTTTTTTTTCTCAATTGCTGGTTTGGTGGGGAAATCTTGACGTCTCTGCTTCAGATCCTGATGGTGAGTGCTTATAAAATCTCTTCCTTTGTTTTTGTTTTTATGTTTCTTTTAGTTTACCCAGTTGAGTTTAGCTTCATTATATTATTTGATTATAAAATGAACTAGTAAGGTAACGTTAACTTAGTCTGAGTTGGATGTTTAGTTGTATTTTTTTAATTCTAATTTGGATTGGAACGACGCGTGGGATGGGGTCTGCGTATGACAATTGTCAATTTGTCATCCATTAATTTGTTGACTTTGCTTTGGACCATTTTTAGCAAGAAAGTGATCATTAACAGCTTCACTTAGGACTGCCATTAATTCATTTCAGGAATTTTTATTAATAAATTTACTCCTAACATTTTGTATTTTAATTGACGTAGTATTTGATAGCCGTAATATATGAGTTCAATTGAATTCACTCATACTTTTAAAGAAAAAAAAAATTATATTTTATAATATTTATAATTTTAACCTCATTTAAATTCATAAATTTCATTAATTAATTATAAATTGTTACGTTAATCTTGTCAAAAAAAATTTATAAAAAATAGTTGTCGGTGTACAAATCTTTGAACACGTAGTCAGAGACTTGTATTTCTGCATAAAAGTTTAAAACATTTGACTGGTCGCTTGGGAATTGCCAGACAAAAAGACTGATTTGCCATCAATGCTGATTGGTTCTCTAAAACTAAGACAAATATTAAATGCTTCCACATTTACAGGACCACTGTTTCACATGGGCTGGTATCATCTATTCTACCAGTACAATCCTGATTCAGCTGTCTGGGGCAACATCACGTGGGGCCACGCCGTATCAAGGGACTTGATTCACTGGCTCTATCTCCCGCTCGCCCTCGTCCCCGATCATTGGTATGATATCAATGGTGTCTGGACCGGCTCCTCCACTCGCCTTCCTGACGGTCAGATTGTAATGCTTTACACCGGAGACACTGATGAATCAGTGCAGGTGCAAAATCTTGCATACCCCGCCAATCTATCTGATCCCCTCCTCCTTGATTGGGTCAAGTATGAGAATAACCCGGTTTTGGTTCCACCACCCGGAATTGAAACCAGTGAATATAGGGACCCGACTACTGCTTGGACCGGACCCGACGGAACATGGAGGCTGACAATCGGGTCAAGGGTTAATACTACTATAGGTATTGCACTTGTGTACCAAACTACTAACTTCACTACATATGAGCTTTTGGATGGACTGTTACATGCGGTTCCGGGTACGGGTATGTGGGAATGTGTGGACTTCTACCCGGTTGCAATAAACGGGTCAATTGGGTTGGATACATCAGCTGGTGGCCCCGGAGTCAAGCATGTATTGAAGGCTAGTTTAGATGACACTAAACTTGATCATTATGCAATTGGAACATATGACCCGGTGAAAGATAAATGGACACCCGATAACCCGGAAGAAGATGTGGGTATCGGGTTACGGGTGGATTATGGAAGATACTACGCATCAAAGTCCTTTTTTGACCTGTACAAGAAGAGAAGAATCCTATGGGGTTGGATTAATGAAACCGACACTGAAATTGATAACCTGAGTAAGGGTTGGGCCTCTGTTCAGGTATTTTATATTAACACTTACATAACTGAATTTTAGGGTTCTTAATTTTCCTGAAGCTAATAATTTTTCTGGGTTTTCTGCAGAGCATTCCGAGGACTGTGTTTTTTGATAACAAAACTGGAACTAATATCCTTCAATGGCCGGTGGAAGAAATAGAAAGCTTGAGATATAACAGTAAAGAATTTGAGAAGATTGTAATTGAACCCGGATCAATTGTGCCGCTTGATATAGGCACGGCCACTCAGGTTTGTCCCATTACCTCTTGCATTTAGTAATCAGTATTTGCTTATAAATAAGTAATCTGAATACGGGATTTTATGATATTGCAGTTAGACATATTTGCAGAGTTTGAAACAGAGTTATTAGCTTCAGCAACCGAAGAAGAAGGGTACAATTGCAGTGTTGGCGCTGTTGACAGAAGTACATTGGGTCCCTTTGGTCTCTTAGTCCTTGCAGATGACTCACTTTCAGAGCTCACCCCAATCTTTTTCCGCCCCACCAATACAACCAATGGCACTCTCACCACTTACTTCTGTGCTGATGAAACAAGGTTAATTTTAATTAATTCCCTCTTTAATCTCTGTAAATGTAGAATTAAAAAAATTACATAATAAATCTACTGAATTGAATGAGAGCTTGTAATTTGAAATGCAGGTCTTCATTGGCTCCTGAAGTTTTAAAACTCGTTTATGGAAGCAGTGTCCCTGTTCTTGAAGATGAAAAATTATCAATGAGAGTATTGGTAAGTCTAAAATCTTTATATTATTATTACATATTGTTTAAAATTTTAACCAGATGAATAATAAATTGTTGAAATTTGAATGATCAGGTTGATCATTCGATTGTGGAAAGCTTTGGGCAAGGAGGGAGGAGAGTTATAACGTCAAGAATTTATCCAACAGAGGCGATCTATGGAGCTGCAAGATTGTATTTGTTCAACAATGCAACAGGAGTTAATGTTACGGCCACACTCAAAATCTGGCAATTGAATTCTGCCTTTATTCATCCTTTCCCCTTGGTGGACGATATTTAGAAATCAAATCAAAACCCATTTGAGTTGAGCCCATTTCTTCATTGCTCTAGCTCTAGGTGGTTGCCAAAAGTAGTACAAATTTTGTGGCAACTTTATTACTTCATTTTTTGGTAGGGCTGTCGTTTAATTATTCTCAATATTGTAGGTATGCCCTTCGCCTCTTGCTGTATGCCTGTATTTCATTATTTGATAGTGTAATTTGAGGTTATTGAGATTCTTAGCCGCTATTTTTTTAAGTAGGAGAAAATACAATTGAAAATTGATTATAAAAAATTAATTTAATAAATATTGTATAAATACGACAATAAATTAATAATATCATATGAATTTGTATAAATATTTTATACATGTAACATTATTGATCTAAAAAGAAAACATTCAATGAGTTATAAAATTGTATGGGTTGGGCTTGGGTAACCATTCTCAATCCAATTGACCCAAAATTAGCCCATTATGTAGATCCCATATTTCATACCATTGTAGATAGGCCCATCCATTCATCATTTTCTCCATAAGGTGTCAATAAGAGCCGATTTGCAGAATTTGCATGTCAATATTGTGAAAAAAACTATACATCAGAATGATCTCTAAAGGTAAAATATTCATTCCAATTACCATGACTTGTATTTACTTGATTATAGACAAGTCAGTATTTAATCCCATAATTTATTGAAGAGTAAACGACATTTTCCCACCCAAGTTTTCGCGAAAGAGCAAGTTACCACCCCTGGTTTCATAAATTCCAAATTCTCACTCTTAAAGTAACACTGTTAGCGGTTTTTAGGTTCTAATACAAATGCAGAGGGTGCTATTACCATATTTCCCTTGACAAATAAATTAATAAAATACTTTTTAACCCCCAAATAAGTAGAATTAGAAAAATAACTATGTTGCTTTCAAATTTATTTCAATAACACCATCTTCTTCAACCTTCACATCATCCCTATCTCCAACCACGCAACCACTGCCATCGCCACACCACCTAGCCATTGTCGCCACCGAGCCACCGTCGCCACCACCACAGCCACACAACCAACTATCACCATCCAGCCCAATTAATATAATATAAAGAAACTCTTATACATCTCAAATTCATTCACCAAAACCCTCTTCAATCCAAACCCACACAACCTTCTAAATTTTCTTTCAATCCAAACAGTTGGTGGTGAATGTGTGGTTGAGGCCTTCGTCAAGCCGTTGGTGGGCAAAGATGTGGGTGGCTTGTGAGAGGTAGATAGGAGTGGGAGGTGGTCGAAAATCACACAACATACACACAAAAATCCAATCCATAAAAACAAACTCCAAAAGCAGTCACAAAAAATAAAAAAAAAATCAACATTTGCCACTGTTTGATCTGAGAGTTTAAGGAAGGTAAGGAGTTATTTGCTTCTTTTGTCTATGCTGAAAATCAATACATGTGCAGGAGGGAGCTTTGGGATAATCTTGGGCAGCATAAGAGGGAGGTGAGCGATAATTCGTGGTTGGTGTTAGGGGATTTTAATGCTACTTTATTTGTGAGTGAGGACCTGGGAAGCTTGAATTCTATGTCGCTTGGTATAACTGAGTTTAGAGATTGCGCTGAAGAGCTTGAGATTGAATATATTAGCCAAGCAGGCATTATGTTTACCTGGAATGGTAAGCCTCATGGGGATAATGGAGTCTTGAAAAGGCTGGATTGTGTTATGGTAATGGGTCCTTTACCACTAGATTTCCTAGAGCAAATTCCTTTTTTTGGCCGTCAGGCTTGAGTGATCATAGTCACTCGGTTACTTACTTCCCTCAGTTGTTTATGGCTAAGCCCCACTCATTCAAATTTTTTAATTATATTGCCCATAAGACTGAGATCAAGGATACTGTAAAGAAGGTCTGGGAGACTGATGTGAGTGGTGTTCCCATGTTCTCTTTGGTTAGCAAACTTAAATTCCTTAAGCTTCTACGAGAATTCTGAATAGAAAACAAGACAAGGGTCAAGATTCTTAGGCATGAGGTTGAGCTTATTCAAGGAGCTTTAGATTGGGATTAGCGTAATTTTGTGCTTCATGACCAAGAGGCTATCTTTTTTAGGCTTTCAAGAGATCCTTTCTAGATGAAGAAAGATTTCTTAAGTAGAAGTCTAAGGTTCATTGGCTCAAAGTGGGTGATCAAAACTCGGCTTTTTTCATAGATCTCTTTACTCTAATTAGAACGCTCATCATATTGATAGAATCATGTCATATTCAAGTGTAATGGTTGAAAATAAGGATCTGTCCAGGGAGTTTGTGTCTTTCTGCAGGAATCTCTTAGGTTGTGCTCTACCTATCTCGGGCTTTGAGGGGTTACAAGATCTATTTTCCTATTGGATTTTTGGTGCTCATTGCGAGTATATGATTAGACCTGTCACTATTGAGGAGGTTAAAATGGTTATCTTCTCGTTTGGAGATGATAAAGCCCTAGGTCCTGATGGCTCTTCTACTAAGTTCTTTAAGGAGGCTTGGGACATAGTTGGTCATGATGTTAGTGATGCTGTGATTGATATCTTTAGGTGTGGGAGATTACTAGAGAGGTTAATGCCACTATTATTGCTCTAGTGCCCAAACTTGATGTCCCTTTATCTGTTAGTGGCTTTCGTCCGATATTCTATTGTAATTTAGTGTATAAATGTATCTCTAAAATCTTTGCTAATAGGATAAATGACAGTCTTAAGGATGTGGTTGATTAGAATCATTCGGCTTTTGTTCCAGGTAGAAGAATAAGTGACAATATTATGCTTGTCCAAAAGATCTTTTGCAACTATCATAAAGATAAGGGGGCTGCTAGGTGTGCTTTTAAGGTTGATATCCAGAAAGCATATGATAGCGTAAACTGGAATTTCCTTTTTCATTTTCTTGGTATGTTTGGTTTCCCCATTCAGATGATTCAGTGGATTTGTGAGTGTGACTACTACGTCTTTTTTTGTCTTTGTTAATGGTGAGTTCACAATTTTTTCCATGGGAAGATAGGTCTTAAGCAGGGAGACCCGCTAACTCCTTATTTGTTTACGTTGATTATGTAGGTCCTCACTTTGCTGATTTGAAGTAAAATTGAGAAAAAAAAAAAAAAAAAAAAGGATTCAAGTTCCATTCTAGGTGCAAGAAACAAGAGCTTAGCCATCTTTGTTTTGCGGACGATCTTTTCCTCTTTTACCATAAGGATCCTTTTTCGGCTTCGGTCATTAAGTCTGCTCTTTTGGACTTTGCTCAGGTTTCTGGCTTAAAGCCCAATCACTTGAAGAGTGCTATGGTTTTTTTTTTTTTTTTTTTTTTTTTTGTAATGTCAGTCAGGAGTATCATATTCAGATTAGAGACATTATGGATTTTTTCTGAGGGACACCTCCCTACTAGATATCTTGGGGTTCCGCTAATTACTGCAAGGCTTAAGTATAATGTTTGTACTCCTCTCATTGAGAAGACAAAAAAAAAGTTGAAGTCATAAAAGAGCAAATATCTTTCTTATGCTGGGCGGCTTCAACTTGTTATCACGGTCCTTTCCTCTATGCAAGTTTATTGATCGTCCCTTTTCATCCTCCTGAGCTCTGTGACTAAAGCTCTAAAAAAGCTGATGAGATCTTTTCTTTGGTCGGGGAATGAGCTTGTTAATGGTAAGGTTAAGGTTGCTTGGAAGGATTTGTGTTTGCCCAAGACAAACGATGGTTTAGACATTCGTCCTTTGAAAGTTTGGAATTATTCTTTGATGCTCTCACATCTCTAGAGTGTTGTGGTTAATAAAGATTCTTTATTGGTAAAATGGATCAACACTTTCTGGTTAAAAGGTAGGAGTTTTTGGAATGTGAAGGTGCCATAGAGAGCCTTCAAAGCCCCAATATATTAGAGTCCTATGCCTATATTTTCACATTCATACAAGAAGTTGCTCTTTTTTAAACAGCACCCATCAAATAACATTCAAGATCCAATGGCTTTTTTTTTTTTTTCCCTCCAAGCTAAAACCAAAAACCCTTCTCCCTCATCTTTGATGAATTTCATGGGTTATGTTGGAAGGGGTGAGCTTGGTGGTGATTCAAAGTCTCATTGTTGATATCCGGCAAGAGAGTGAGAGTGAAAAGGAGAGAGAAGAGCATGGCGATGGAGCTAAGCGGGTTAGATTCAGATGGATAACAATTCAAGAACGCAGATATGTGAAGGTCCAGATGAACAAGATAAGCCACAAATTACAGGTTTTCTTTCTCAGTCAATTTCACTCTCTCTCTACTTTATTGGTGTATTTACGTTTGTGGGTGGGGTTAGTTTCATGTAATTTTGATCTTCTGTATCTGGGTTTTGTTATTATGTTTTGAATCTCTGGTTGTTTTGCATTTTCAAATGTTTTTTGGTTTTTCTGCTTTTTAAATTTTAGGCAGGGTTAGTTTTCCTATTGATTTGAACGAGTTTGTATTTTTATTTTTTTGGAATGTATTTTGTATCATGAGGATGCATTGGTTGTAATTTTTCATCTGTGGGTTTTGTTGCATTACCGAGCTCTTGGTTTTTTCTATATGGGTAAGACCCTTATAAGCTTCTATATAACCATAATCTTACTAGAGACTTGCAAGCTATTGTAGTTAGGAAGATAAAGAATTAGGATGTATGTATGTCGTGAGGTTCACTAACTGTGCTAGAGTGTGGATTTCATTAAACTTTATTGATTGTTTGATTGTTTATTTGGGAACATTAATTTTCAAGGTATCATTTTCTTTGATTTTGTTTTTGGGGGTTTCTTTTCTTAAAGAGCAATGTGGTTTTTCTGGTTACATATGGATCAAAATAGTTAAAACTCCTGAATACTTTTGTTTTTTGTAATGGCTTAAAGAGTTGCATGAGATTTTTCAATCTTTCATTGGTTCACTTTTCTTTCATAAAATTCAAGTGTGTATGATCAGTCAAAATTTGTTTCTCCATTACTTCTTTTGCGTGTAAGCATACTCCACAAACAGAAACTTGAGACGTGGGTCAAGAATAGTTGCAATTGTCAACACTAAACTATAAGAATCACAATATTTTGTAAATTTTGGGATCATTTGTTCCGCCATGCTCCTAACAACTTCATCCTCA